GGGCCGGGCAGGCAGCTGGGCTCTGCCCTGGGCAGGAAGGGGAAAACAGGACCCTTCGGCTGGGGCTGCGTTGGGAGAGGCACAAGGATAAGGCAGCCCAGGTGGGTCCTGCTAGGAAGGGGTGGTTCTTGGCAGCAGGTGATGGCAGGTGGTGTCCTCACCTGAGGGACAGAGGTTGGAGGGCCTTGGTGTTTGTGTGCAGGTATTGTCTCCAGAGGACAGAAGGGCTGGCAGTGAGGACAGTAGGGGTGGTCAGAGTGAGGTGCTGGTGTGGGAGTGGCAAGGGGAGACCTAGAGTGATGGCTGAGGAATGCGGGGAGGAAGAATCAAGGACTGCCTCCAGCCCCGAACTCCCTTATTACCCTTCTCTGTGGGGTCCCTGTGGGGTCGGGGACCTTGGGAACTGCTGGTGCCGTGTGCCAAGTGGCACCACGGTGGTGTTGGACGGGAACAAAAGTCGCTCCCCTCCCTCCTCCTCCTCCCCTCCCCTGGCAGATGTTTGTCCAACACCTTCCTAGCTTATCTCCCCACACCCAGGGAGCTGTGAGACGAGGGCAGAGGTGCTCCCCCACCCCATGCAGGGCAAAGGCCTGCCTGGCACTGCCCTTCCCGGGGCCAGGACCCTGCCGAGAGCAAGCGGGTTTCCCCAAGAGCAGCAGCACCCACCTTGCTGGGATGCGAGCAGGTCCTGGGGGACACGTGAGGGCCCACATTTTTTGGGGGCAGCTCCCTGTGTAAGCAGTGCTGAAGCATTTCTGAGCCCAGGGATGTAGCCACTGTTGGGATTTATAGCCCTGGCTCTTTTTTGCCATGGCTATGCCTCATGTCCCATGACATCTCATGGTGGAGAGTTCCAGCGCTGAACTGCACGTCATACAAAAATGTCCCCTGTGGTGTCTGTTTTTTACACTGCTGCCCAGCCATTTCATTTCATGCTTCCCAGGACTGGCTTCATGTGTGACCTTGAATGTTCTGTCCCTTGCCATGACGTGATAGCACACTGTAGGACCCTCCAGCATCTCTTTTCCAGGCTGCACTGTCCTAGTCCTTTCACCTGGTTTTGTGTAGAAGTTGCTGTATGGCTTTTCCTATGCCCTTTCTAGCTCTTCTCCATTCCTTCCAAAGCAGGGGAAGGGACCAAAAGTGCAGGCTGTACTTCTGCAAGCCAAGCATGCAGAGGCTTGGTCCCCCTCTGAGCTGCAGCTGTGGCTGGGGAAGTGGGCAGAGCAGGGAGAGGCAGGAGGGCTGCGGTTTAGGTGTCTGGGCTGGCATCCCTCTGCTTGCTGGGGAGGACCATGGTGGAGTAGGACAAGGCAAGGCAGTTGGCTTGCTTGTGTGACATCTGTGGCCATCAAGTCTAGGTTTTTTTGAATCTGCTGCTGTTCTTCAGCCCTGGCTTTTCAGCCCTTGTGGCAGGGAGAGGTGGAGGGGTTTCATGCCACGTCCCTTCTGCTCCAGCATAGCAGAGTGGGTTTGGCATTTTCTACATGATCAGAGGCTGGATGAAGCTATGAGGCTTCCTTGTGCTGGGTCCTTGTGCCTCAGGACTTGAGGAGTAAAACCAAGTAGAGCTGTGCTGAGGACTGTGCAGGCTGTTTCACTTGTGCCCACTGGCAGTGCTGGAGACCCCAGGGAGATCCTTCCAGCTGGGAGGCAGCAGGGTCTCAGCTCCCTCATCTTTCTCCCATCAGCTGGAAGCCCCTGGGGCAGTGCTAGTCCAGGGGAGGTACCCTGGAAGCAGAGGAGGTATTTTATCCTGACCAAGGCTTTGCTGCCCAACAGGCTTTTCAGTGAGCCAGAAAGTTGGGGAGTGATGGAGGGAAAGATGGGTGCTCTGTTGGGGTGCATAACCTTAGAACTTGCTGTGTCAAACAAGGGTGTATTGGGCTCTGCAGGGAGTCTGGAGGTGATGAGGTGGTACAAGGCACCTGATCTCAGATCTTCCTGTTCTGGACCAGCCCTTAAAGAGTCTGGGTCCTCAGAGAAGCTTAATGGAAGCACGGTGGGATACAACCTGCTGACCAGACAGCTAATCCCTCCCTGCTCCCAAAAGCTTTTACTGACTCAGCTCCTCCGCCCTGCAGCGCTGCAAGGACCGCCTGAACTCCCTGGCCATCTCTGTCATGAATCAGTGGCCCGGGGTGAAGCTGCGGGTGACGGAGGGCTGGGACGAGGATGGGCACCACTCGGAGGAGTCACTGCATTACGAGGGCCGAGCTGTGGACATCACAACCTCGGACCGAGACCGCAACAAGTACGGCATGCTGGCTCGCCTGGCCGTGGAGGCTGGCTTCGACTGGGTCTACTACGAGTCCAAGGCGCACATCCACTGCTCTGTCAAGTCAGGTAAGGCCAGGGGGGGACAGTGAGCAGGGCCAGGGGCCCGCACCCGTGTTGTGGCATGCCCAGGGAGTGTGGCTGGCTGGGTGGGGTGCTCCCGGAGGGGGGGGGGGGTGCTCGCTCTCACAGCCTGATTTCCCTATCTGGGGCAAACAGTCAGGTGGGGAGTGAGTCACATACCTGTGGCCAGCAGTGCCATGGGGCAAATTCCCCGTCTAGCTCCTAGGGAGCTGCATCCTGATCCACACTCTCTACCCACCCCACATCCCCTTCTCCCACAGCCTGGCCCCTCAGTTTGCCCGTCGCATCTGTCTCTCCTGCCTCTGCCCTTGCATTCCCTCAGTGCCCAGCTGCCCACGCTCAGCCCCATCCAGCCCTGCCCTCCTCCACCAGCAGCTGTTCTTGAGTTCCTGCTGCTGCCGCAGCATCTGTTCAAAACTGACT